TTAGCTACTACAAGCCACTGAATAAACAGCTAAAATATAAAATAAAACAACAGAAACTATTGCCAGGCATAGGGAATTAAGAGACCAGTGTTTCAGAAAAAGCTCAGTCATTCTGGAGCCTCTAAAATGGATTACAAATGGCTGCAAAGTCTTTTTCACACCCACCCTTGAAGCAGTGGGATCTATTTCCTTACTTCTTTGAACATAGACTATACATATAGCTGATTTGACCAGTGGAATGCATACATAAATTACCCCGAGTCAGTCTCAGTTCTACATTTTTGTTGTTGTTGTGCTGGGGATCAAAACAAGGGCTTCCCACGGTTAGACAAGCTCTCTACCACTGAGCCACATGCCCAGCCTAGTCTTACATTTTAAGAATCCTGGCAGCTTAGACTTCCTCCTAGGAACCCAGCCGCCATATTAAGAGGAAACCTGAGCAGCTACATGACGAGGCCCACAGAGAAGAGAAATGAGTGGATCTCCCAGTTCATAGTAAACCCAGCTGTGTATTTAAGCCATTTTGGAACTGGATCCTCTTGCTATAGTCACTGAGCTCTGTCCAAATTGCAAAACAATGAACAAATAGATTGATTAGTTCCTAAATTATGAGTTTGTTACACAACCACAGAAAAGCAAATGAATGGACAAACAAACAAAAAGGTGAGGGGAACCCAAACCAAGCATTTAATATCATTTCATCAAGGAGGAAAGCAGCAGCAAGGTGATCATTCATTTGAACATCTGTAGAACACCTACTGTATTCCAGACTCATCATTAGGTCTTGACACTGCTCTTCTGGTGCTTATAGTCTGCAGCTAAGACAGACATACATTAAATAACTTAATACCAAGCCATGTGACTCTCAAGACAGAGCAGTATGAAGAAATAAAAAGGAGTGTGGGAATACTGGTGATCTCGCAGGCCTCTTCCTACTCTAATATAATTAATTTGTGATGAAGAATAAGTACATCTGTGAGACGGCCATTTAGAGATGGTCACATGAGATAATACAAGTAGAGAGAAAGCTTTCTTTTACACAAGTCTATTTCTTAATTAGAGCATGAATGCAGAGGCAGGGTTTCAGGTGTTATTCAACAGATAGACAAGAAGGCATGGAGAGCTGCCTCTACTCAGCAGTGGAATGATCGATCTGATGAAAGAGGTTTTGCATAAACAGATAAAGAGACAAGATGAGAACTATGATTTCCAGGGGCAACCAAAGTAAATAATGATGGAGGAATTTTTTWAATCTTGTTCATCATTTAAATAACGTTTAAAAGGTAAAGAATCTAAGTTGATTGTTTCAGACAAATTCTTTGAGTAAAAAAAAATATTTCTTCATCTCCAGAATGATTGCCAGGAAAGGAAAAACTTCAAAAGATATGTTTTTATTTTCCTGCATAAATAGGTTGATGTCTACCAGACAAGCAGGTGGAATAGACAGACAGCTATTCCACAGGGATGGTGTTGAATTTAAGTATCACCCAATATGGCTGCTTCTCAAGACACCTTCTTTCCAAAGCCTGAATTGGTATAAGAGCCCAGAGATGAGACTTTGTGATAGTGAAATGTTTAGGTTAAATTGCACACTAGCCTCACAAGATATACTGAGATAYACAGGAGTTAACTGACAACCTAAAACACATGCCTATGAGAAGTATCATTCCCAAACTTTCCCTTGACAAGCTTTGGGAGAATTGAATTCAATGCTACTACAAGTATAGCCATTCAGTTTCTTGACTGTGGGTGGAGGGAGGCTGGAAGTCAAACATTTAATTTTCTAAGTACTTTTAATTTGGCTAATGTTAAAGTCCCTCCTTAACCTCCCATTTAAAAAAAAAAATCCCTGCTGTCTTTGATAGAGGTAGCTAATAGGGAAGAAACAGAACAAATAGTCAATTCATGCTTCTCAAATTTTCCTTCTGTCGTTCCTGTTGCTTTTGTCAAAGAGTTCAGTCTTGATATAAGCATTTGTGAGCAAAAAATAAAAATGTGTATGAATGCTCATAAATAGAGGCAATTTTACTCTCCCATAATCAACTCACAGAATCTGAAATGGCTATCTTTCAAACTGAAGACACAAAAGGAACACATTCATGAATTTCCTGTTTTTCCATTTTAAGGTCTCACACTTGCAAAACACCTCATGCCCAACACCCAGCTCTAGGTCTCCCAACCTGGTATCCCCCACCACCCACACCCTTCCTGCTTGGTTGTATCCAAGCCTTCCTGGAGCACAGGGGACTAACACCTCCATTGCAGACCAAAGCTTGTACTGCTTTTACTAAAGAGAGGTCAGCAGGTTACAACTAGAAATTGATTAAAGTCACTCCCTCTTGTTCAGGACGTTACCAAGTCAGTGTCAACATTACTGTCAAAGAGTCAAAGATTCCTGTGGTTCACAAGTCAACACCAACCAGAGGCCTCTTGTTTATGACACCCAGGACAATGGTGGGTCCTTTCAGAGTTCTTCTGAAATGCCCAGTGACCATCAGACATCTGACCCCACAGGTGACCTCCAGACAACCTCAAGGCTCCTGAGCAATAGGAGATATGGCACTAAAGAGGCTCTCAGAGGGTTTTTATTAGCTTTGCTTCCAGGTGAGGAAAAGGAGTTAAGCATCAAAAGAGAATGAGGAGAATGGGGAGAATGAGAGAGAGGGGGGGGCAACTTTATCTCATGAGACATTAAAGGGAAACCAGTGTTTTAAAAAAATCATAGTGAAAACAAGAAACTTCACCAGAGGCCTAATGTGAGAAATAGAAATAATTTGTATTTACATCTAGGGATTCTGATCTCTGGATATCATAGAAACAGTACATGTTAAGGCTACTGCCCAATAAATTGAATGGAGATTTAGGGTCCAAGGTATGAACCATACACACTTGTTCACCTTACAAATTCTCTTTACTGATATCCTAGTTTAAAATATGTACCCTTAGAGACAATTGCAATTATTCAACCCAGCAGGAAAACCAAGAATGGGGGGGACAGAGGAGCACCTGAATCATGGAAACCAGAACTGGCTCAAAAGAAAGCAAAAAAATGAATGAGCAAACACTGAGGACAAGGAAAGAAAATTTAGTAAACTTGTTTATTTCCTTAGGGACAAGACTGTGTCTACAATGCTTAAATATAATTTTTCCAGCCAGTGCAAGGGCCACAAATCATCTTCAACCCCTTCATTTGGCCACAGTTTTATAGAAAATACAACTGGCAAAGAATGGTGCTTTCCCTTGCAAAGACCCTCCAGGCTCACTGAATGCACTCACAGATGGTCCCAATACTACTCAAGTAAATTCACATCTTCTCTTTCTCCATTCAGCATTCTAGCCACCCTTGCTCATCCTAAATCTATGATTCACTTTTTTTTTTTCTTTCTTGCAATGCTGGGGATTTAGCCCAGGGCCTCATAAATGCTAGGCAAGAACTCCACCAACCCCAATGATTCACTTTTAAACCAAGGGTATACACAGCACACTTCAGATGACAGCGAGTTAAAGCTGCTGTACAGAAAGAATCGATGTGAAGGGACTGTCAAAGACCCTCTCTCTGCAAGAGATATGGGTGCAGCAGTTTTCGGTTTTAAAATGACCTCAGAAGATGGACCAAAGGTTTTGGGTTTCAGTTCAAATTTGTGACCCTTCCCTCATTATGAAATGGGCAAAAATTATTTAGTTCCGCAGGTCTCCTATGGGCTCCCATTTCTAAACTACATCCTTGGTCTCAATATTTCTCCAGTCTTTTACATCACAGGGATGGAGGAGGGGAACAGGGATTAGGAAGTGCCTCTACCACATTCAGCAAGTCCCTCGACATGCTCTTCCAACCCTGGGCAGAACAGCACAGGAGCATGAGGGATGACATTCACCACAAGACACCAGAAACAGACTGGGGCTTCCCCCACCCTTCTTCTCCCAGTCTCTTCCTGATCTCCAGTAGAGAGATCCATTCTTTTCATTTTCTTTTCATAGTTGGTAATCTGACATCACTGCTGTCTGCCTTCTGGCTGTTTGTACATTGGTTTTCTTTTCTTCCCCTTTTCTCTCTTTAGCAGGACTCAGGAAGCTTAGAAGACCTATGCTACTTTGGCCCCCATAAATGGCTTAGTGATGGCTAAGGGGGAAGCCCACCGCCCTTCTGCTCTAGACCCCAACACACAGACCTCCTCTCTCGAACACCCAGTTCTGTAGGATTCCCATCACCACTTTTCAGGTATTCAAAGCTTTGGGGGGATATTGTCCAGGCATCCTTGAAGTCATCAAAAAAAGGTGGCTTTGAGCATCTTACTATTCACATATTTGCATACTGTTTGTTTTAATTCAAAGACATCCTAAACACTCTAGTAGATACATTACAGTGAGAGCCCAGGAATTGCAAATGCGCTTGCCTCAAAGACGCAGGAGTCCAGACTTGGGCAGGAAATAAAAGTTCTAAGCGGCTTTGATGTGCTTCCTCCCCCACCCCACCCCCATCCCCGTGCAAGCCATTCATCTCCGCCCAGGGAGAGACCACCTTGCCAGAACCTAACCAAAGACACCACACGTGGAAACCAAGTGGGAGAGTGAATAATCCAATGCTTCCCAGTCCCTCAATCCCACCCCCACCAAATCGGTTACCAGCGGCTTTAAACTCAGCTGGGGTAGCCTTGTATTTTCCGAATACGAAAAGGAATTTTGAATATAAATGGGGGGAAGCAAGTGTGCAGGGACAGGGGATCCAGTTTTTAAAGGAGAGTTAAGCGCTGAGCGGTTTGGTTAGAGCTTGTTTCTTTTTTAAGCTGACTGAACCATCAAGCCAGTTCAGGTCATTTCCTGAGTAGCACTACAAGTTAAAACAAGATCCAGAAAATCAATTAATCTTCAATTGCGCTGCCTCCAGACTGCGAACACAAGCGGGTTGGGTGGGATGTTGGGCTGGGGGAGATGATCAGGGGGACGGTGTCTAAAAGCAAACGCACCAGAAACCCAAGCTCCCGACCTCAGCTGTTCCTTACCTCACTCAGCTCGGCTGAGGAGTCGTTCCCATATTTCATGGCAACTCCAGAATTCATGACTGCACTTTTCAGAGCCGGGCTCTTCCGCCTCCAGGTCTCAGAGCTTAGGAGTGGGGCTTAACAGGCTGGGTATCCACTGCTTGATCCCTTTTGGCACATCTTAGTCTAGACAGCCATTTTCACTCAGGACACTGTTCGGAAAGCCCAGGAAGGATGCAGACAGTCCTAAAAGGCACAGACCCGACGAGCCATTGCTGCAGGAGGCTCGGTGCCGCGGCGCGCTCGCAGCTTGCTGCAGCGGCGGAGCGGCGGGGATCCGCCCGCGCGCGCCCACCGCCTGGTCCCGGGGCAATGCCACCCTCAGCGCCGCTTCGCCACTCCTACGGTGCCTGGTCGACCCCCATTACCAAGCTGCAGGGCACCTCACAGCTGGCGCCAGTACCCTGGAGGACTCCGACAAGCTCTCCAAAGAACCAGGGCGGCGGAGCGAGAAAGATCCGCGCCTCGGATTCCGGGGAAGGAAAGCAAGCTGGAGAGAGCCGGAGCGGAGCTGCACTTCACGCTGAAGTTTCCCCTTTGAATCGTCTGGAGTTGTAAGTGGTTTCTGATTGAACACAGCTGTCTAGCTGCTGGCTACGGGCTGTGCGGAGAGGGCGGAGCCAGAAAGAGAAAAGGGTTGGGGGTGGGGGAAAGCCGAGCAGAGAAGACCGTGCTTGGAGGGAGAGCCGGCATCCTTCCAGTTCTCTGCAATAGTAATTACAGGACTCAGGTCCAGAAGGGAGAGAAGAAACAGGAAAAGCCACCTGAGTAATCGAGCAGGAAATTGAAAAAAAAAAAAAAAAAATTCTCTCATAGGAGCCACTTTGCATGATTAAATAAGGTCAAGACAAACCTGAACACTGTACATCAAGCAGCGCTGTGCACTTCTCACGGTACATTAAGATTTTACAAGAGTGTGGGGCGGTCATTTTCCCTGATCAGTCTAAAGTCAACACTGATGGTGTCAATTCACTATCAAACTCCCTCTTTCTGTCGCTAGGGCAGAGTACATTTTCTGCATGTCCATAATGAATATAAAGATAACTCATCCCTTGAAAGATATAAGATAGGCTCACATTCCCCACCCTCCCCAACCCTCAGATCTTCTTAAAAATTGTACTGCTTATATGAGCAGAGCTAGATTTTAGAGTATGACTCAGAAAACCTTCAAGGAATTCTTATGTCCAGTGGACCCCATGGGGTCAGAAACCCCCGCCCCTAGAGCTTTGAGTTCCCCTGAGGTAATACATCCTGTGTCTATGGGGAGTGGGTGTGGAGGAGGGAAAAGGCAGAGATTTTATCTCCATAAAGTTAAAGCCCCGCTGCATTAGAGATGCACTGGAAATGGTCTGATCCTTTAAAGCAGGAGGTCTGCTGGATTGCTTAAGAAACCTCATCAGTCTCTTTCTACACAATAGGAACAAAATGTCTCCGGCCCCAATGACAGACCTTGGCATTTCCTGAAGCCTTCTATGAAAAAGCCATTGTATTGTTCACTTCCAAGTTCTATTTTTAAAAAAATCCAATAGGATGTTTATTCTGCTCTTTAAGAAGGAGCAAAGAGGGCATCATTTGCATAGATCTTCTTACTTATCCCCCCCCTCCCAGCTTCCTGTTGAGTTCATTCATTGCCTGGAGACCCTGCTGGGATGGGGAAGAGTTTGGTGCTCTTTCTAGAGCTAGAGCACCATGTGGATGGAGAGGGGCTGAGGAGTCACTTTATTTGATTTGTTTATTCATTAAAACCTGCTGAGAACTGACTGTAGTTGAAGCTGGAGATGTTTGTGGATTTAGGGATATTGGTATAGACTCTGCATGTCAAGCATCCATATATCCAAATGCTACAAAATCCAAGATCCCAAATGCTCCAAAATCCAAAAGTTTTTGAATATCCTGTTAGTGCTCAAAAAGTTTCAGGTTTCAGATGATTTTGGATTTTTAGATTAGGGATGCTGAACCCATATAAATATGAAGAAAACTCAAGCACAGTCCCTGCTCTTGAGGTAGTCAAACATGATCAGAAATATAGAAATATAGATAGAAAATGATACTTGCCATAAAAGTGGTATAAATGAAGATCAATTGCAATTGAGAGGAGGGAAATATAATTTTGGCTAGGCAGGGTCAGGGGAGAAGACTGTGAAGGAATCTCAAAAACTGAAGCGTGTGAGTTGATCTTGGAAGAATGGCTGACCCCAATGGAGACGGGGAGTAAGGAGAAGGTAGTGGTCCTATTGTGAAAGTATGGGTATAGACTGGAATAGGCAGAGCATGCAGAGGGATTGCAGGCATTCCACTCCAGAATGGAAGCTGGGTGAGAAGAGAGGATCGAAATCAGATCACGAATAGTTTTGAGTCCCAGACTAAAAAAATGCAACTCCTCTGGATAGGCAACGGAGGCTCATAAATGTGTCTGAGCACAGAAACATCAGAGCTGTGCTTTTAGATATCGTAATAGATTTTTATCACACCCTTGAGTAACTAACATGAATTCAAATATGCTAGTGTTAAATGTGATTATGATTTTCAAAGTACTTTTTTGTTGTTGTTGTTGTTATTGAGGATTGAACCCAGTAGCTCTCTACCACTAAGCTCAATTAAAGATACATTATTTTTCATACTACTTGGGCCCTATCGCCAAGCAAATGATGTCACCTGGTGTCCAACCAAAAGAAAAGTGTTTTGTTCATCAGGTGGAGGAAAAACTTTCATTGTGGAACTTGTTAAGCTGAATGTCTGCTGGGTGCAGCGGCACATACCTATAATCCCAGAGGCTCAGGAGCCTGAGTCAGAAGGATCACAAGTTCAAGACCAAACTCAACAACTTAGCAAGATCCTCCCTTAAAATAAAAAATAAAATGGTCTGGGGAAGGGGGATGTAGTTCAGTGGTAGAGTGCCCCTGGGATCAACCCCTAGTACCACAGTATGTCTATGGATAATATAAGGCATTTCCAAGGGTTATGTTGACTGTATGGAATTTTCTTCATGAACAATGACTTCGGAACTTAACTCCTACATAAGATGGAACCACACCACAATCCAGCAGCTGTAGAGGTGGAAGAGTTAAAAGTAGGAAGCAGACTTGCCAATTGGACTATTACAATAGCAAGAGGTTAAAAGGGCCTGAATTGCCAGGTGCAGTGGAATACTCCTGTAATCCCTGCAGCTTGGGAAGCTGAGGCAGGAGGATCTTGAGTTCAAACCCAGCCTCAGCAATTTATCAAGTCCCTAAGCAACTCAGTAAGACCCTGTCTCTAAATAAAATACAAAAAAAGGGATGTTGAACATTTTTTCATATATTGATTTTTTCATATATCCTCTTCTGAGAAGTATCTGTTCAGGTCTTTGGCCCCTTTATTGATAGAGTTATTTGTTATTTGTTTTTTGTTTTTTTTGTGCTTAGCTTTTTCAGTTCTTTATATACCCTAGAGATTAGTGCTCTAWCTGATGTGTGAGGGGTAAAAGTTTGCTCCCAGGATGTAGGCTCTCTATTCACCTCACAGATTGTTTCTTTTACTGAGAAGAAACTTTTTAGTTTGAGTCCACCCCATTTATTGATTCTTGGTTTTAATTTTTGCACTATAGGAGTCTTGTTAAGGAAGTTGGGCTTAATCCCACATGATGAAGATTAGGGCCTACTTTTTCTTCTATTAGACRCAAGGTCTGTGGTTTAAAGGGCTGGGGGTGTGGCTCAGTGGTTGAGTGCTCCTGAGTTCAATTCCTGGTACAGAGAAGGAGAAGGAGAAGCATCCCTAGTCCATGCTACAGGAAGGAGGGAGGCCTGGAGTCTGGTAAAAGAGTATTTCAAAGATCTGAATGTCTTTGTAAATCGGAGGCAACACCAGGCAGATTACCACAGGGAATGAGGAGGAACTGGAGGTGGTGTCCACACACTACTCTTCTGTAAATTTGGTGATGACAGAAATGAGGAGGTTGATCAGTCTCTTGGAGTCAGAAAGCAATGTTGAGTAGAGGGCAGAACAGACATATTTGTAGGTTGGTAGAAACCGTGGAGATACAAGGAGTGGGGATGTGGAGCAAAATTCCCCCCCCCCAAAAAAAAAGGGAGAAAAGGAAGGGCCCAAGGACTAAAACCATGAGATCAGCTTTTGAATAATCTTGGAGAAGAGGGGATTCTAGTGCCCTTCCTGGGAGACCAGGAACAGTTGGGTGACTGTCAAATTTATAGAGAAGACTTTAGACACTGTTTTAGTAATCTTTTACTTTGCTGTGACTAAAGGACCCCAAAAGAATGGTAGAGGAGGAAAAAGTTTATTTAAGGGCTCATAGTTTCAGAGTTCTCAATCCAGAGACAGCTGGCTTTATTCTTCGGGTCTCCAGGTGAGGCAGAATAACAGGGTGGAAGAATGTGGCAGGGGGAAGCAGCTCTCATGGTGATCAGAAAGCAGAAAGAGACGTCTCCAAACTTGCCAGATACAAATATATACTCCATAGCCATGCCCCAATGAACCACATCCTCCAGCCATACTCTACCTGCCTCCAGTTACCACTCAGATAATCCCATCAGGGATCGATTCACCGATTATGTTAAGGCTATAACCCAATCATTTCTCCTCCAAACCTTGCATTGTCTCACATGTGAGCTTTTGGAGGACACCTCATCTCCAAATCATAACAGACACTACAACTAGGAGCATTTATTTGAAGAGCACACCAGCTTCTTCCTATGATTGTAGAGGAAAACTGAAAGCCAATGACAATTTATCATGAGATTCTGACTCAAGGAAAGGAAGACCTTAGTGATATCTGTCAATGCAAAATGGAATGAAGTCTTTGTGATGCCTTCCCTTAAATTGTTCAAGCATAGGTTTTAAGATGGTGGGACACTCTGAAGCCAGACATATATAAAAGTAGGGCTTGTTGTATTGAAAAGAAATCTGATTTTTCGCCCCCCTGTATTAGGGATGGAACCTAGGGATGCTCTACCACTAAGCTACACTGGTAGCATTTTTTTTTTTTTTTTTTACTTTGAGGCAAGGTTTCTCTAAATTGCTGAGGTTGGTCTCAAACCTGTAACCCTCTTGAATAACTGGTATTACAGGCATGCACCACTGCACCTGATCTTTTTTTTAAATTTTATATTCCATGAAATGAAGATAAGTTTTTGCTATAATTTAAATGCCTTATTTTTTTCTACCTCTTAGTCTTGCTCTCTGCTATCAAAGGCTAAGATAATGCTTTAAACAAGATTGCACCTGGGTCAATATCCTGAGAACATTAGAAATGTGAGAAACATTTCAGCACACCACAGGACAATAAAGCCCCAAGTGTTTCCAACTCCAGTCAAAGATCTTAAGCTGGGCATGGAGGCACATACCCCTAATCCCAGTGACTCAGGAGGCTGAGGCAGGAGGATTGCAAGTTCAAGGCCAGCCTCAGCAACTTAGTGAGACCCTGTCTCAAAATAAAATAGAAAAAGGACTGGGAGCATAGCTTAGTGACAGAATGCTCCTGGGTTAAATTCTCAATACTGCTAAAAAAGAAAAAAAAAAAAGTCTCGAGATTACAGCT